CACCCACCCACTCACCCACTCACCCACCCACCCACTCACCCACTCACCCACCCACTCACTCACTCACCCACCCACTCACCCACCCACCCACTCACTCCCCCACTCACCCACTCACCCACCCACTCACCCACCCACCCACTCACCCACCCACTCACCCACTCACCCACTCCGCTGTCTCGGGCCTCGTGCAGATGGAGATGCTGGGCGACAGCCTGGGCTGTCCCCTCAAGTACATCTTCCCCGTGAGCAACTACGCAGACTCAACGATCCTCCACGAGGAGCGGAATCGCCTCGCCATGCACGCCTTCAGCACGTTCATCCACGCTGCTGTGTCCTACGTGAAGCGCTGAGCGCTCAGTCAGTCACTCAGTCAGTCAGTCAGTTAGTCAGTCACTCAGTCAGTCGCTCAGTCAGTCACTCAGTCAGTCAGTCAGTCACTCAGTCAGTCAGTCAGTCAGTCAATCAGTCGCTCAGTGAGTCAGTCACTCAGTCAGTTAGTCAGTTAGTCGCTCAGTCAGTCAATCAGTCACTCAGTCAGTCAGTCAGTCACTCAGGCAGTCAGTCAGTCACTCAGTCGCTCAGTCAGTCAGTTAGTCAGTCACTCAGTCAGTCAGTCACTCAGTCAGTCAGTCACTCAGGCAGTCACTCAGTCACTCAGTCAGTCACTCAGTCAGTCAGTTAGTCAGTCACTCAGTCACTCAGTCAGTCAGTCAGTCACTCACTCAGTCAGTCACTCAGTCAGTCACTCAGTCGCTCAGTCAGTCGCCCAGTCAGTCACTCAGTCAGTCAGTTAGTCACTCAGTCAGTTAGTCAGTCAGTCACTCAGTCAGTCAGTCAGTCGCTCAGTGAGTCAGTCACTCAGTCAGTTAGTCAGTTAGTCGCTCAGTCAGTCAGTCAGTCACTCAGTCAGTCACTCAGTCAGTCACTCAGTCAGTCAGTCGCTCAGTCAGTCACTCAGTCAGTCAGTTAGTCACTCACTCAGTCACTCAGTCAGTCACTCAGTCAGTCACTCACTCAGTCAGTCAGTCGCTCAGTCAGTCGCTCAGTCAGTCAGTCAGTCAGTCACTCAGTCAGTCAGTCAGTCGCTCAGTCAGTCGCTCAGTCAGTCGCTGAGTCAGTCACTCAGTCAGTTAGTCAGTCACTCAGTCAGTCAGTCACTCAGTCAGTCGCTCAGTCAGTCAGTCAGTCACTCAGTCACTCAGTCAGTCACTCAGTCAGTCAGTCAGTCGCTCAGTCAGTCACTCAGTCAGTCGCTCAGTCAGTCACTCAGTCAGTCACTCAGTCAGTCAGTTACTCACTCACTCAGTCAGTCACTCAGTCAGTCAGTCGCTCAGTCAGTCACTCAGTCAGTTGCTCAGTCAGTCACTCAGTCACTCAGTCAGTTAGTCAGTCAGTCGCTCAGTCAGTCAGTCACTCAGTCAGTCACTCAGTCAGTCAGTCACTCAGTCAGTCAGTCAGTCACTCAGTCACTCAGTCAGTCACTCAGTCAGTCAGTCAGTTACTCAGTCAGTCACTCAGTCAGTCACTCAGTCACTCACTCAGTCACTCAGTCAGTCAGTCAGTCAGTCGCTCAGTCAGTCACTCAGTCAGTCACTCAGGCAGTCACTCAGTCAGTCACTCACTCAGTCAGTCAGTTAGTCGCTCAGTCACTCAGTCAGTCAGTCAGTGGCTCAGTCAGTCAGTCACTCAGTCAGTCACTCAGTCAGTCAGTCAGTCAGTCACTCTGTCAGTCAGTCACTCAGTCAGTCAGTTAGTCGCTCAGTCACTCAGTCAGTCAGTCAGTCAGTCACTCAGTCAGTCAGTCACTCAGTCACTCAGTCAGTCACTCAGTCATTCAGTCAGTCAGTCAGTCACTCAGTCAGTCACTCAGTCATTCAGTCAGTCACTCAGTCAGTCAGTCACTCAGTCAGTCAGTCAGTCGCTCAGTCAATCAGTCAGTCACTCACTCAGTCAGTCACTCAGTCAGTCACTCACTCAGTCAGTCAGTCACTCAGTCAGTCAGTCAGTCACTCAGTCAGTCAGTCAGTCAGTCACTCAGTCAGTCAGTCAGTCAGTCAGTCACTCAGTCAGTCAATCAGTCGCTCAGTCAGTCAGTAAATCACTTAGTCACTCAGTCACTCACTCAGTCACTCAGTCAGTCAGTCAGTCAGTCGCTCAGTCAGTCACTCAGTCAGTCACTCAGGCAGTCACTCAGTCAGTCAGTCAGTTAGTCGCTCAGTCACTCAGTCAGTCAGTCAGTCACTCAGTCAGTTAGTCAGTTAGTCGCTCAGTCAGTCAGTCAGTCAGTCGCTCAGTCAGTCAGTCACTCAGTCAGTCACTCAGTCAGTCAGTCAGTCACTCAGTCAGTCAGTCACTCAGTCACTCAGTCAGTCACTCAGTCATTCAGTCAGTCAGTCAGTCACTCAGTCAGTCACTCAGTCACTCGGTCAGTCAGTCATTCAGTCAGTCACTCAGTCAGTCAGTCACTCAGTCAGTCAGTCAGTCACTCAGTCACTCAGTCATTCAGTCAGTCAGTCAGTCAGTCACTCGCTCAGTCAGTCATTCACTCAGTCAGTCAGTCAGTCAGTCACTCAGTCAGTCAGTCGCTCAGTCAGTCGCTCAGTCAGTCACTCAGTCAGTCAGTCACTCAGTCAGTCAGTCACTCAGTCAGTCAGTCGCTCAGTCACTCAGTCACTCAGTCACTCAGTCAGTCACTCAGTCAGTCAGTCAGTCGCTCAGTCACTCAGTCACTCAGTTAGTCAGTCAGTCAGTCACTCAGTCAGTCAGTCAGTCACTCAGTCAGTCACTTACTCAGTCAGTCACTCAGTCAGTCACTCAGTCACCCACTCACTCACTCAGTCACTCACCCACTCACTCACTCACCCACTCACCCACCCACTCACTCACTCACCCACTCACTCACCCACTCACTCACCCACTCACCCACCCACCCACTCACCCACTCACTCACCCACTCACCCACTCACCCACCCACTCACCCACTCACCCACTCACTCACTCACCCACTCACTCACCCACCCACCCACTCACCCACTCACTCGCTCGCTATTTGATATTTTACAATGATGTAAGCCGTATAACTCTTCTTCAGAAATACCATTGTTATACTTTACCATGGTGTAAGCTCTTATTACTCTCATTCAGAACGAACTTTTTCATATTTGGTGATGGGCCCTGGGCTTTTTAACTCTCATTCAGAACTAACGATTGTAACATTTCACCATGATGTACGCTGTATATCTCTCAGTCAGAACTATTGAATATTTTACGATGATTTGTGCTCCACAACTCTTCTCATTCAGAACTGACTATTGTACATGTTGCCGTGTTACGAGCTGCATAACTCTTATTAAGAATGAAGTTCCCATCACATTATTGGTTCTTTGGGTTAAAGTCACCACCACGTAGATAGGGGAACAATAAAATAATAAAAATGTAAAACAATAAAATTATTGTTCATGGTTCTTTGGGGGTAAAGTCACCACCACGTGGAAGGGAAACAATAAAATAATAAAAATATTTAACAATAAAATTATTATTCTTGGTTCTTTGGGTAAAGTCACCACCACGTTAGAAGGGAAACAATAAAATAATAAAAATATAAATCAATAAAATTATTATTCTTGGTTCTTTGGGTAAAGTCACCACCACGTTAGAAGGGAAACAATAAAATAATAAAAATATAAAACAATAAAATTATTATTCTTGGTTCTTTGGGTAAAGTCACCACCACGTTAGAAGGGAAACAATAAAATAATAAAAATATAAAACAATATAAAATTCTCACGACGTTTCGACTGCAACACAAGAAGCAATCATCATCAGGTATGAAAACCATCAGGTGACACACTTCACTGTTGTGTACTGCGAAACTGTACACTACACTATACACTACACTATACACTACTATACATTACACTATACACTACTATACATTACACTATACACTACTATACATTACACTATACACTACACTATACACTACACTATACACTACACTATACACTACTACACTATACACTACACTATACACTACACTATACACTACACTACACACTACACTATACACTACACTACACTATACACTACTATACACTACACTATACACTACACTATACACTACACTATACACTACACTATACACTACACTATACACTACTATACACTACACTATCCACTACACTATACACTACACTATACACTATATTACACACTACACTATACACTTGACTATACACTACACTATACACTACAATATACTACACTATACACTACACTATACACTACTATACACTACACTATACACTACACTATACACTACACTATACACTACACTATACACTACTATACACTACACTATACACTACACTATACACTACACTATACACTACAATACACTATACACTACACTATACACTACACTATACACTACACTATACACTACACTATACACTACAATATACACTATACACTACACTATACACAACACTATACACTACACTATACACTACACTATACACTACTACACTACACTATACACTACACTATACACTACTACACTACACTATACACTACACTATACAATACACTATACACTACTATACACTACACTATACACTACACTATACACTACACTATACACTACACTATACACTACACTATACACTATATTATACACTACACTATACACTACACTATACACTACACTTTACACTACTATACACTACACTATACACTACTATACACTACACTATACACTACACTATACACTACTATACACTACACTATACACTACTATACACTACACTATACACTACACTATACACTACACTATACACTACACACTACACTACACACTACACTATACACTACTACACTATACACTACACTATACACCACACACTACACTACACACTACACTATACACTACACTATACACTACACTATACACTACACTATACACTACACTATACACTACACTATACACTATACACTACACTATACACTACACTATACACTACACTATACACTACACTATACACTACAATATACACTATACACTACACTATACACAACACTATACACTACACTATACACTACACTACACTATACACTACTACACTACACTATACACTACACTATACACTACTACAATACACTATACACTACACTATACAATACACTATACACTACTATACACTACACTATACACTACACTATACACTACACTATACACTATATTATACACTACACTATACACTACACTATACACTACACTTTACACTACTATACACTACACTATACACTACTATACACTACACTATACACTACTATACACTACACTATACACTACACTATACACTACACTATACACTACACTA